GACACCTCAAGCTGACCCACCTCGTCTTTTGGTCCATGCGCCTCCATGTTTGTGATTTTTGCTACAGACATGGCGTCGAACAACACCCCCTGAGCGCCTGAGCGCAAGTACTCCATGTAGCTCGCAAAGTTCGCGTGGCCTTCCTTGCTTACAGCCCGGTTGCCGTTGATGGAGAAGCCATAGTACTTCACACCAGGCGCCCTTTGAACAAGAGCCTTGAAGGCCTGACAGATCCGCATGAAGGAGTTGGTGTCGCTCACATCCCAATAGGTCATGATGCTCAGTGTTGTGTCTGGCAATGGGGACGCCGCGCAGCCCTGCTCCAGTACCGCCGCCGCCGGCCGCTGCCCCGGGATCTCCTGCAGGCAGTCCTCGACCAACGAGCCAAGCCGCTCGCTCGCAGACTTGGTCTCGGCGATCGCGCGCTTGAGCTTCGTTTGATCACGCGCAACGTTGCCGAGCGGGCGGCCGAGCAGCAGCTCCGCGAGGATGCAGCCGGCGGCCCACACGTCGTCCGGCGGCCCGTACCGCTTCCCGTCGGCCTTCTCGGGCGACATGTACGCGTCGGTGCCCACGGCCTTGGTCTTGGTGCGCGACCGCGAGGCGGAAGAGACGCACGCGAGCCCAAAGTCGATGATCTTGGCGCGGCCCGTCGCGTCGAGCATCACGTTGGCCGGCTTGAGGTCGCGGTGCTGCAGGTTGAGCGAGTGCATGTATGCGAGCCCGGACGCGACCTGCTGCATCAGTGTCGCTACCTCGGGCGGATGCAGCGGCGGCGCGGCGGCGATCTTCTCGGCGAGGGAGCCGCCGGTGAGAAGCTCCGTGACGATGACAAAGAGGCGGCCGTCTTCGGAGTCGTGCCAAAAGGCGTCGTAGAAGCGCAGTGTGTTCTCGTGCTCGATCATCGAGAGTAGGCGCGCCTCCTTCTCCAAGCCAGCACCGTCCAGCTCCTCCGACTCGATCATCTTGACCGCGTACCGCCTCGCATCGATTCCAGCTACCTTGCGCATCCGGTACGTCGTACCAAAGGACCCCCTCCCGAGCCGCGCGGCGAGCTTGTCCCTCTGGCCGGGAGGCGCGTCCGGCTTGCGGTCGTACGCGTAGAGCGACATCCGCGAGCTGCGGTCCGGCTCCGCGTTGCCAATGCCCGTTGCGGTGAGGTTCGCCATCATCGCGATTATCTTATCGAGCTTGAGTCCCTGCTGCGCAAAGCCCTCGCGCATCTCACGCGTCAACTCCTCCTGGAACTCGGCGTCCGACACGCCCGAGGCGACGGCGATGCCACGCACAACCTCGGAGTCCTCCTCGAGCGCCTTCTCGTCGACAGCCTCGCCCACCGCCTTCCGCTCGGCCACCTGCCGCACCACCTCCGCCTCGACAGCGTACTCGCGCGCCTGCAGCCGGTCGATGATGTCCGCGTCGCGGGCGAGGTTGTAGAACAGGAGCAGCAGACCGAGTTGGCCCGTGATCTCGGAGTCGAGCTGCGAGAAGGCGTTGCGCCACTTCACTTGGAGCGCGTGCCGCAGCCAGCCCTTCTTTCCAAAGGCAGCGACCGCCGTGCGCACGTCATCGAGCAGCCGCTGCAACTCGCGCATCCGGCCCTCGACGCTCGCGCGGCTCTTCACGTCCATGCGTTCCACGTTTTCAGCCATGCGCTGCAGCAGCTCCAGGACGTCGATCGTGCGCTGGGCAGCCGATAGCACATCGCTGATCACAGTTCGCGACGCTTGCACGACTTGAAGGACGCTGCGAGCCGCGCTGCACACCGCCGGAATGAGAGGCAGCCCGGCGCCCTCGCCGATCTTGAGCACGGTGTCGACGAGCTTCAGTCCCGTCTCCACCTTGTCGAGCGCCCGCTCCGCCGACGTGAGTCGTGCCACACCAGACTCCATTCAGCGAGCGGCTTGACTGTAGGGATCTAGAGCAATCTCCGCAAAAGGAAGCAAGACGCGCTTGAGCGGAGAGCCGCGCTTGGATGCGAGACGCGGTTGAGCGTGTCGGGATGGTCGACGTGGCCATTTGATTCCGCGAGAGACAAGCGGGGCTAACTGGAGTGCGCGCGTCGGGGCTGGTGAAAATCTTTTTGCTTTTAGCATGCGAGTTGTGTCAGGCTGAGTTGTGTTGGTCGTAATCGCGGGACTTCATCGCGGCTCGTGGCACTGCAGCCGCGACGCGCGAGCCGCCGTCGAGCTCGTAGGCGCCATTGATCGGCCGGGGCACGCGAAGGCACTCGTGGTCGATGCAGTGGAGACGCGCACTTGGCACGCGCTCGTCGCGTGCGCGCACGCGGCTTATGATTACCCGTTCACCTGCCTCAAGGGCACGAGGCACGCCAAGGAGCTGGTGAGCGGCCTGCTGGCGATCCCGGGCCTCTCACCTTTGTTTGTTTCGCCCCTTTCACCGGCGGTCGATCCTCTGCGAAGCCTTCGCGAACATGGCGCGTCAGATCGCCACGGCGCTGGAGGTCGTCGTGGACGCGCAGCTGGTGGCGGGCTACGTGCGCGAGCTGGGCGCCATCAAGGCCGAGGTGTCGCGCGTGAGCCGCTCCCGCGCCAAATTCGCCGCCCCCGAGAAAAATAGGAGACCAACCTTGCGTTGGTCGCAATCGCAGGTTCATCGCGGCTCCTCGCTGCTTGAGCACTTCGCTCCTCTCAGTCCGCTTCCCCGCCCCGCCCCGCGACTCGCCCGACGAAGCTCTCGTAGTGGTCTCTGCCCCACGACTATCAGCTCTCGCCCACGATGCCGCGCATACCTCTCACTGGAGCATGCTTGCCGGAACCGACGCTTCGCCTCACAGGTGCAAAAGGACTGGTTTCCCGACGGCCCGAGGGTGTGCGCTAATTGCATCGAGGCGGGGCTGGGCGGGCTCACTGACGAATACTTACTCGCATAAGCTGTCCCTAATGGGCGCCGAGGAGTCGAAACCCGCGGCGCCGCCATTCCCACCACTAACCCCGCCCTCGCCGCCGCGATTGGCTCCCTGCGTCCACGACGACAGCAAGTGCGTCGAGCCGACAGCCGATTGGCTACACCGCCAGCCGACGTGCTGGGCGGACCCGACCTTCGAGGCGCAGACCTGCAGCGACGGCTACACCGCCAGCCCTCACTTTGAGGAGCCTCGGAACGAAGGTCGCTACACGTGCTACCCGCCTCACTGCCGCTGCGACGCGTCCAAGTGCTCGAGCGACTTCGGCGACTGCCTCGCGGACGGCAGGCCAGAAGATTGGGGGGGAAAGACGTGCAGCGATGGCTACTTGCCGATCGCGATTCGCTACATTCCGTGGGGCCAAGGCACGGGGAACTACTTGCCGATCCCCGACTCAAGGTACACCTGCTGCCTCAACCCCTCGTTGCCCTGGCCGCCGTCGCCGCCGCCTCCACCACCTCTGCTCCCCGCATCAACCTGCAATGAGGCTTGGTGGCCAAAAGACCTCGTTTGTGGCGAGTGCAAGGTACTCGTCGACCAGTTCGACTCCAAGTATGGCTCTTGCAGCGCCTACTGCCTGTCGATCGGGCGCGTGTGCACTGGCGCGTGGGAGGGGAGAGGCGATACTTGCACCGTCGAGTACGAAATGACCTGCGACCAGAACCTTGACTCTAGCGACGCGATCTGCGAATGCGCAAATTCGCTGCCCAGCCCGCCTCCGCCGACCCCGCCGCCACCCTCGCCGCCGCCGCAGTCGCCGCCGCCACCCTCGCCACCACCGCCCTCCCCGCCGCCACCCTCACCGCCACCCCCCTCGCCGCCGCCACCCTCACCGCCACTCCCCAGCCCGCCTCCGCCGACCCCGCCGCCACCCTCGCCTCCGCCGCAGTCGCCGCCGCCACCCTCGCCACCACCGCCCTCGCCGCCGCCACCCTCACCGCCACCCCCCTCGCCGCCGCCACCCTCACCACCACCCCCCTCACCGCCGCCACCCTCACCGCCACTCCCCAGCCCGCCTCCGCCGACCCCGCCGCCACCCTCGCCGCCGCCGCAGTCGCCGCCACCACCCTCGCCACCACCGCCCTCGCCGCCGCCACCCTCACCGCCACCCCCCTTGCCGCCGCCACCCTCGCCGCCATCCCCCTCGCCGCCACCACCCTCACCGCCGCCGCCCAGACCGCCTCCGCCGAGCCCGCCGCCACCCTCGCCGCCGCCGCAGTCGCCGCCGCCTCCCTCGCCACCACCGCCCTTGCCGCCGACACCCTCACCGCCACCCCCCTCGCCGCCGCCACCCTCACCCTCAGCATCGCCTACCGCAACGGTAATCACCTCCTTCTCGCTCGCCGGCGCGGTCGAAGACTTTGGCCCGGACGAGCAGGCGGCGATAAGGACCGTGCTTGCTGCGGGCGCCGATGTGCCAACGTCGGCGGTCTCCCTCACGCTCTCGCCTGGCTCCGTGATCGTCACGGCAACGATCAGCTTTGAGGTCGAGGCCGCTGCAAACGAGGCGGTGAGCGCGCTCTCGGGGGCAGACGGCATCCTCGAGAATACGGCGAACTTAGAGGGGGCTCTCGTCGCTCAGTTTGTCGCGGATGGCATTTCCACCGCCGGTCTCATGGTAGATGCGATTGTGCAAGCCCCCGGGGTTGAACTTCCCGGAGACGACGACAGCAGCGGCAGCTGCGGCGTCGGATGCGTCATCGGCATCACTGTCGGCATCGCCTTTAGCGTCATGGCTCTCATCGCCCTGAGCGCGCTCCTTTTCTTATTCCTGACGGGCGCCGCCTGCTTAAAGAAGGCAGATCAGGGCTACGCAACCGAAATGCCAGGGGTCGTCGACGTCGGGAGCCGCCAGATCGCGATCCTTCCGGCCAAGTTATCGGTCTGCTCGGCGGGCGAGGGCGAGGAGGAGGAGGAGGAGGTGGTGGTGGGGTCGTCGTCGGGCGCGCATGCGGCCGCGCTTGAGGCGCTTCAGCAGGCGCGTGGCGGGCACATTGGCGTCGAGCGGACCTACGCCGGACACCGGGGCGGCAGCATGCAGATCTTTGTGCGCACGCTCACGGGGGGAACAAACATGACGCTGGACGTGGAGATGAGCGATAGCGTCGCCGCTGTCAAGCACAAGGTGCGTGACAAGGAGGGCACCCCACCCGAGCAGCAGCGCCTGATCTTCGCGGGCAAGCAGCTAGACGACGACCGCACGGTGGCGGACTGCGGCATCCAGAAGGAGGACACGCTGAACCTTGTAGTGAAGCAGAGAGAGAGCGTCAACATTGGCGTCGAGCGGACCTACGCCGGACACCGGGGCGGCAGCATGCAGATCTTTGTGCGCACGCTCACGGGGGGAACAAACATGACGCTGGACGTGGAGATGAGCGATAGCGTCGCCGCTGTCAAGCACAAGGTGCGTGACAAGGAGGGCACCCCACCCGAGCAGCAGCGCCTGATCTTCGCGGGCAAGCAGCTAGAGGACGACCGCACGGTGGCGGACTGCGGCATCCAGAAGGAGGACACGCTGAACCTTGTAGTGAAGCAGAGAGAGAGCGTCAACATTGGCGTCGAGCGGACCTACGCCGGACACCGGGGCGGCAGCATGCAGATCTTTGTGCGCACGCTCACGGGGGGAACAAACATGACGCTGGACGTGGAGATGAGCGATAGCGTCGCCGCTGTCAAGCACAAGGTGCGTGACAAGGAGGGCACCCCACCCGAGCAGCAGCGCCTGATCTTCGCGGGCAAGCAGCTAGACGACGACCGCACGGTGGCGGACTGCGGCATCCAGAAGGAGGACACGCTGAACCTTGTAGTGAAGCAGAGAGAGAGCGTCAACATTGACGTGAGCGCGTCAGTGTGAAGTTTAAGCCGTATGCCGGATTGAACTATTGTCGTAGTGCCGGCGTGCTGCCACCTCATGTCCTTCTTGAGTCAATATTCTTTCGGTGGGTTCATACTAGTAACGTAACACGAGACGAGCGGCGCTCAGTACAACACCCGTTCTGGTCGCCCGCTTCCGCTGCTGGCTTCTCGGGCGGTGCCTTGCGCACTCAAGTCACTCTTCGTCCAAGTCGATGACCTCGGCAGAGCTCGGCGCTCGCCCGGCGGCTGCCCCGCCCGCCCCCGCCCTCCTCCCCGCCGCTGGCGCGGTGCCTTCCTCCCGCCCCGCCGGCTGATCCTCGTAAAACAAGAGGGGGCCCGGGGGCCCAGGACCCCACTGGGAGTAGAAAATACGCCCAAGGGGGCCAAGGAGGCGGCGCTGGGAAGCAGCATCAGGTGAGAGCAGGAAGGATGGCGCTTAGGGTCGGCTTTGAACAAGGGTTTCCAGGGTTTTAGATCAGTACTGGTTCCGGCACACATCCCCACATCATATGAGGTCAGCGGCGCGCAGTGCCTCTCTCGCAGGCATTTTGGCTGTTTTCGAGCTTGTTTTTGTTTTCAGACTAGGGGGCCCGGCCCCCTCAGAGGCGGCGGGCGGGCGCCCACTCACCGAGAGATCAAAACGGGACGGCCCGACTAGCAGTGACGGGCGCGGACGAGCGAATGAGAGGTCGCTATCTGTGGGTGTTGTTAGAGACTAGGACTGCCTATCTCTCGCTGAAAGGTACCTCTCATTCGCTCGTCCGCACCCGTCACCGCTCACGGAGTGCTCCGCGTGCCGCACCGGTAACGGACAGTGGTAGTAACGTTGAGCTGGATCAAACTGAATAGGTGCTCCTGAAAGCCCTCTCTCTGGGCTCTGCAACACAGTAGCAGCTCACGACTAGCAGCTGTTGTGGCTGGGTATTTAGCCATTTTTAGGCTTCAACTGGTCCCAAAATAGTAGCAACACCTCATGAAAATCAGTCAAAAAAGCCCCAAAAAATCGGCGCCTGCGGCGGCCCTCCTGGGGCTGCGCCCCAGACCCCCTTGACTGGGGGGACCCCCCCCAAGAGCACCCCCGTCGCCCCCGGGGGCCCGTCGACTACCCAGGATCTGCGCCTCCGTTCGTCGCTCTCGTGCTTGATCGTCAGGCCGTGCTCTCACGTCCGCCGGAGCTACCTCGGCTATTGGCACCATTTTACAAGTTTGACCGCCGACATGTCGCCCGGTCCGGCTCAGTCAAGGCAATATGTCGCTCAGCGCTCGCTGGCTCCGTGGATGCTTGTGCTGCTGAGCAATCCAGGCGCACTTTGGCACTCGGCGGCAACGACTTGCGGCGTCCAGCATTCGATTTCGAACGGTTGTGTTGATTTGCTTGCTCCGCGGTATCCTAGCCGGCGCGCTCCGCGCAAGTGTCTAGCTAGCGCGCTCCGCGCGTGTGTCCAGCTAGCGCGCTCCGCGCGTGTGTCCGGGTAGCACCAGCGCGCTCCGCGCGCACGATAATCCAGTGCCTTCGCTTGAAGGCACTACGGCTTTAAAGCAGCTCGTATTTCTGCAGCGCTTGGGGGAGGGAGTGGGGTGGCTGCGGGTTGCTCACCCACGGCACCGGGCCGGTGCTTGCACTTTGAATGCCGTGGGGCTCCTGCCCGTGTCCGGGCGTGGAGATGCGAGGGTCGCCCCCCCTTTGCCCCACCTCACTTTGTGTTGTGGAGACGTTTGGGCCTTACCTTACCTTTTACCACTCTCTATCCCTACTCCTTCCAAGCTCGACGTCCATCAGCATGGCGAGCGTGAAGTCTTGGTAGCTGAGCCCACCCAGCACCGTCGTCTGGCACCGTACCACCACCAGCTCCTGCCAGCGCCGCCTCTCGCTCAGCCGCCGCTCGAGCGTCAGCACTGGGTAGTGGTTGTTGTTGAAGGCCACTGCTGCGAGCGTCGAGACGAGCCTGGAGCCCTGCACAAAGTCGGCGACCTCGATCTCGCGCATGATGGCCGTGCCATCGTCGACGAGCGCCCACGAGTCGCTCACGCTCGGCAGCAGCTTCGCGCACTGCTCCTGCGAGAGCGGCTTGCCGTTGTTCTCATACGGGTCGCACACGCTCGTCGGCCGGCGCGCGGTCGGGTCGCGCCTCCCTCTCGGAGGGCGGCGGCCCGCGGACGTGCACAGGAGCGCAGCGGCGTACGGCGCGGCGCGGCAACATGGCCTCGTCGGCCGGGCGAGCATTTCGGCTTGCAAAGAAACACGTCCGCGCCTCTACTCGAGGCTCTCGAGGTGGATATCGTTTGGCCGCGTTGGGTAGCGAGGATTGGTGTAACCCGAGCCACGGAGGCGTGTTTTCTGACAGCCGACCGTCAGTGCACGGAGTTGCCCCTTCTCCGACTGCCCCGGCTAGTTCCCGAGGTCGCGCGGGGCTGACCCCAACGACAAGACCAAGGCACGGGCAGAGGAGAGAGAGAAGAATATAGGGTGGATAAAGCGCCTGTTCACGGCATGGGGGGTGAGCCACGCTGAACGTAGAGCCGAACGGGAGGAAGCCGGGGAAGAAGACTCCGAGGAGGACGAAACACTAGTCGTGGACGTGGTAATCCCGTCGTCAGCTTGTAACGATGCACCCGAAGGGGACCCCAGCGCCAACACCGACCGTGGAGGTACATATGTTCGAAGAGAGAGTGGACCTGAGCAACGATATGACTTGGCGGCAAATGATCGCAGTGGGCGCGTCAGAAGAGTCGTCCTTGCGCGAGGAGAGCTCGATAAACTCGAGGGGCCAAAATATGCCGCGAGGAGGGCAGAGTTGCGCCGAAAGGCGGGAGAAGCCGCGAGAGCAAGGGATCGGCAGGCGGCGGCGGCGTCGCAGGATGAGGCAGACGAGAGCGACGCGACAGAGGAGGAAGCGACAGGAGGGAGAACGACGAGAAGTGGGACGACCGCGAGGTGGCATGAAGGTTGCAGCGAGAATCGGCGAGGGACTGCGAAGGGAGATAGAAAGAGGCAGACGACCAAGGGTTAGGGTGGGCGACGGCTAGCACCACACTCCTCTCCTTAAAATCCCTGTGTGGTGGCGGCGTGCCGTCCTCCCATCCCTCCCTTGGTGTGTCTGTTTTCTTTCTTTCTTTCTTTACTACAAATGCGGGGAGACCCGCGTGACGCAGGGGAGTCTAGGCGACGGTGGCGTCCTCCGACGCCGTGGCGAGCCGGAGCTCGGTCGCGATATCATCCGCCGCCGCGAGCTGCAGAAAGAAAGAAAACAAACATTTTGGGAGGACGGCACGCCGCCACCACACACGCCGAGCTGCAGCGAGACGCTTACAGGCCACGGTTTAAATTCTTTCTCAAAACTCCAAGCTCACCTCGAGCTCCCCATCGCCGTCAGGATCGATGCGCGCCAGCGTGAGGAGCAACGCCACTTGCGCACAGCCCCCCAGTGCGTGAACTCTATCCCTTTTCTGCGGCAACAGTTGGGCAAGAAGCTGAGGCGGGTGTGCTGCGGGTGGGTGCTTTGGGCGGTGGCCGCTCGCCTCGCTGCTTTTGCAGAGTGTCTCCCTCGCGTCCCGTGCGATCCCCGCAATGCCACGCAGCTTGGCCACCTTACTCTCGCTGGTTCTCTGCGAGGTGTCCATTCCGCGGGTTGGGTGGGGATAGAGATAACGACTGGGCCCGACGACGGACGGACGACGATGACATGGTTAGGATTTCACAGTTAAACACTTCAAACACCTGACGAAACCATTCGGTGTCCCCCCCCTTCTCTCTCTCTCTCTCTCTCTCTCTCTCTCTCTCTCTCTCTCTGTGTGTGTGTGTGTGTGTGTGTGTGTGTGCGCGCGCGCTTAGCCTTAAGCGAGCGGTGTCTGGCGTTGGATGTGGCCTACCCTAATTACGCTTACCTCCTCACTCACACCCAGTCTCCCTCCCACGCCAACCTCTATCAAAACCAACAGGTGGCGGGGAACTGTCACGTGGTGACGCCGTGAGGGGTGGCGGGACGGAGGGTGTTGCCTGACTTGCAGCGCTCTGGGTGGTGGTGGCGGCGCTCCAAGAGTGGCACCACCTACTCCAAGCGACATTGACACCTCAAGCGGCGGTGGGGCTGCGCTCGATTGACGAGGCATCGTGCGCGGACGCAAGGGATTCATCTCGCTTCGCCGCGTCGAAGACCGAAAAGGCGAACGTCGTCTCGTAGGGCGATGCCACCTCATACATGTCGGCGGCGCCCTCGATAGCCCCTTCCGCCTGTGCGCGCGTGGTGAACTCGCCCTCCCACGGGTAGACGTCGACCGCGCCATTGCGCGCGACGCCCGGTGTGGCGAACGACTGGCCGATGAGTCCGTGCGGCGGGCCATTCGCCGGCGCGCCGCCGTGCGCGGCGAAGCTGACGTCGAGACGGTGGTGCGGGCCAGAGATCAGGCAGCCCCTGCACGAGGGCATTCCGTGCACAGTGATGGTCCAGTTGCCGACTGAACGTGGCCGAGGAGAAGTCCATAGCCATCTTGACGCCGAGCAATCCTTGTGGCCGTGGAAGCCGAACTTGAAGGGCCGGCCGGCGCACGACCCGGTCACTACCTGCCAGCCCGAGTTGAGCTCGTCGAGCTCCTTGGAGAAGAAGGAGGCGCTGACTTGGCGATCTTCGATGCCTCGCGCCAGCACATGCGCCTCGGTGATGAAGGAGCCGTTGACCGTGAGCGCGCCGTCGTGAAGCGTGAAAAGCGCCTCCTCAATCTTGACGTTGACCGCTAGACCCGGCGCGGAAAGGAAGCTGTAGAAGGCGCCATTGCGGCCGCGGAAGTCAGCGCGTCCGCCATACGCAAAGTACAAGTGGGGGTCTTGGAGCACCTACTCAAACCCGAGACAAGTGTGTCCGACTCTGCCTTTGCGCATGCAAGAGAGGCAGCGTCGCAACGCGCCTTAGCATCAGCTCTGGGCGGCGACGCAAACGCGGGTGGTGAAGACGCTGAGGGCATAGACGCCGGTGGCGGAGCTGTAGCCAGTGGCAGCGGTGG